CATTGGGATTTTCAGTGGGGTCATGGTGAGGAAGGAAAGGGTTAAACCACTTGCCATCTTCCAAAATCCCTACACCTATTTTGTTTGTTTTCTATCAAACTATCATGTTAAATGCAAAAAAGAAAAGCACTGAATGTAGTGCGTAGTTTGACCCAAAGTTATTACAATGTTTGTAGTTCAGGGACTCAGAAATACAAATAAAATGTTTTAAGTGCAATATACAATGTGACACTAGATGGCGATGGTGAGCCTTATGGAAAATTCAGTGTATTTTTAAAAACGCTTTTAAAAGAAAACATTTTCAGAACGGTTTTTATATGTGTGTAGTTTCCACCCAGCTCAGCTTCAGTGAAGGAAAATAAAGTCATCAGTTTTGCTACTACAGGGATGGGGAAGCAGTGACCTTCCAGTGGTTGTTGGGCTTATACAGTGGTGCCTCGCAAGATGAAATTAATCCGTTCCGCCAGTCTCTTCGTCTTGCGGTTTTTTCGTCTTGCGAAGCACGGCTATTAGCGGCTTAGCGGCTATTAGCGGCTTAGCGGCTATTAACGGCTTAGTGGCTTTAAGAAAAAGGAAACAAACTCGCAAGAACTCGCAAGACGTTTCGTCTTGCGAAGCAAGCCCATAGGGAAATTCGTCTTGCGGAACGACTCAAAAAACGGAAAACTCTTTCGTCTAGCGAGTTTTTTGTCTTGCGAGGCATTCGTCTTGCGGGGCACCACTGTACTTGTTCCAGCAAGTATGACCAAGGTCAGGCATTATAGGATTTAACCTTGCCCTGAAGAAATGACAGGAGTGGGCTGTACTTTAGAAAGAAAGCCCAGGATGGAGCATGGGAGCAAGTGATACATGGCTTGAGAAACAAGAACCTGAAGAGAGAATAACCTAAAGAGAAGGAAGGGAGACACAAAATGGATAAAAATGAGATCTGTAGAAGCCTTGTAGCACTTAAGGTCAGAGAGGTGGTATGAGGACAGCTAAAACAGTGATCAGGTGGCTAGCTGAGAGGCTGACTGAACGAAACGTGGAAAGGTAAAGACTTGAGGAAGGGACAAATGTGGTAGGGACAAAGAAATAAGGGAGCTGGTGAAAAAGTAGGTCTGGGCTAAAACCTCAGATTGTTGGTATGGACATGAAGGAAGAGGAAAGATAAATGAATAGTGTACTCTTATGTATGTTGACTCACAAGTAAATTCCATCAAGTAATGAGGCTTCCTCCTAGGTAAGTGGAGATAGGATTGCACCCTAAGGGAGGTTTGAAGGACTTAGGGACAGAAGGCAAAGGAGCCTAGGATTAGTAGATCTAGAAAGAGACATGGCTGCTGTATAAAAGGGGAATCCAGCCAACTGAAAGACTTCTGTTGCCTCTGCAACCCTGTGATCTGACAACCCTAAGAGGGAAACAAAAACTAAGACTGGAAGAAGGGGTAGATTATATATATTTGATTTTCAACATTTGATTTCAACAGCTAATTGTCAGACTTGTAGTTATAAAAAATATTCTTGAATCTTCAAACAAAATCCTCCTCCTGTCATTATTTTTCTCGCTATGCATATTTTTTCCTAGGCTTCCTCCATTTTCTTTTCTCCAATTTTCAACAGTCAAAACGTAATCCTCTGTGTGCCTTCTTAGGAGGAAGCCCAATTGAGTTCAGTGGGACTCTGAAGCAAGCGAGTATAGGAATGCAGCCTCTTGCTCTTGAACTTTCTCAGCCACTGTCTGTTCCACTTGGGGGGCTCAGAGAACAATGGGCCAAGGAATTAATATGATGCAATGAAAACTAATGATTAAAGCTCATAGACAATACATAAAATCAATGGTCAAGATTAATAACAAAAATATAAAATTAATATCTACTGAAAAATGTGGGGGTGGATCAAACTAGAAGAATCCCGAGCAAATTTACATACAATTGATTGAAACAATGATTACATGATGATAATTAGAAATGGCCCTGTCAGTCTATTTTTTGCCTGTATCATTTTCACATATGTTCATTCATTAAGTTTTCCATCCCATTTCTGTACTGATGTTTTCTGCATGAAATTAGTATGTAAATACACATATATTTTTCTTTTATTAAAAATACATATTGAAACACATATTGTTTTGACTTTACACAATACAAAACATATTTTCTCCTAAAATATTTTTAATGCAACTTGGCATTTTTTTGAGCCAAGAATTCACAGAATTTGGAGATCTGTGAAATCTGAAGAATAACTACATTCCAATCCCCATGTTGTTCCAGGTGGACATTATCTGGGAGATCCAGGAGGAGGTGGTAAGGATCAGAAATTCAGTTCCTCAAGCATCCAATTTATTTATTCCTCCTTATTGTACTACTAAGTACAATGCTACTTAGTCCATCAGTTGTGATTATGTGGCAAACCAAGTCATTCTTTTGGAGTATGCTCTACACTTCGTTGTGTGCCAAGACTGGGGAGTAATAGACTAGTTGCCTTGACAACAGGGGTACATTCCCTTTTTATTGTGAAAATTGACATTAGATTTTTACTGAGCCCTAATTCAAATTATAGTAGGAATTTAAATGTACACCAGTAAGTAGTAATAAATGTATGTAAGGCATTAATGGAAAAATCAGCCAAAGTCATTGTCAAGATGTTAATGGACTCAGAATTCTGATCAGACTCCAACTAGTCCTTGCTTTCAGGGGGGAAAGACAAATGAGCCAAAAAGATTATTATATTACTTTGTGACCTGATTAAGTGCCCAAGAGGTATTCTGACATGACATTCTTTAACATGATATTTTGCTTTATGGGCCCTACAGTTATCATTTCAGAATGAACTTTAGCTTGAAATAGTCTGCGCTGACACAAGTATCAGCTTCTGCTATACAACATCATGTTCAAAATAAGTATAAGAATCACTAAACTGACATAATGACATCACATAAATATGATTTTCCCACATCGAAATAACACAAGTTCCCATTTGACAGTTTAAGAGAACTTGTAATTTTTTTAAAAAAATAAGTCACTTAATCAGAGAAAGCCAGTGTGGACAGGTTAAGGATGGCAGACACAACTTTGAACAGCATTCAGGAAGTATAAAAAGGTAAAGGGACCCCTGACCATTAGGTCCAGTCGTGACCGACTCTGGGGTTGTGCGCTCATCTCGCTCTAGCGGTAGCTATTTATCTACTTGCACTTGACGTGCTTTCAAACTGATAGGTTGGCAGGAGCAGGGACCGAACAACGAGAGCTCAACCCGTCGTGGGGATTCGAACTGCCGACCTTCTGATCGGCAAGTCCTAGGCTCTGTGGTTTAACCCACAGCACCACCCACGTCCCTATTCAGGAAGTATAGAATACAATAAACTACTTCATTACAGTCACGGCTGGCAGGAACAAAGCCAATAGGTCTTAGTCACTCTGCATAGTTAGCAGGAATATGCAAATAAGCTAAATCAGTGGGTTCCACAGATCTGGAAAGGGACTGTCAATAAGCCTCCCTAAAGTCAGAATCACAATGTTAATGGGTGTAGGATTCCAAGCAGGTTCCAAATCATTCTTACTTCATAATAATGAGTTCAGGAAAGACAACAAGTTGAGGGGGGGGAATATACTTTTTTACATGTAGTTCTGATAAGATGGCAGTGTTATCTGAAAAGTGTTGTTCTGGCTCAGTAAGGCAGGGAAGGCACTTTCAACATTTCCAGCTTTTGCTTGTTTGTTTAAATAATTATAATTATAATAAAAATAAGATAATTGCTTATTGCCTTCACATCTGATGGGAGGGTGTTCCACAGGGCAGGCGCCACTACCAAGAAGGCCCTCTGAACAGTGACAACTTTTGCCCAACAACACAAATATTTAAAATATTGTCATTCAAATAGGAAATCATTGCTTCCAAATCATTAGTGCAGGAAAATTGCTGATGGCTGTGTTTTTGGTTTGTTTGTTTTCAGAATTCTCTTGCATTAATAATAGCTGCCTTAGGTTTGGCAAAAAGAAGTGTGCTATAGGTATTTTTAAACAAATAAAAAAAAATGATGATTTTCAGCAAAGAGTACAGTGTCCAGGTTCCACAAGACGGGGCACCAAAGCTACTGTGAAATCTTTCACTAAGAGACATAGGGGATGGGAATCCTGGTCAAGACATGTAGCCACTGATAGCCTTACCCTCCATCAATTTGTCTAACCTGTTTTTAAAGCCAGCATAAGTTGGTGGCCATAACTACATCTTGTGGGAACAAATTTCATGGTTTGTACTGTACGAAGGACCTCCTTTGTGTGCCCCAAATCTTCCAACGTTCAACAGTCCTGGGTTCCAATATTATGAGGGAGGAAAACTTTCCTCAATTCACTTCTCTACATTATGCATTATCATTCCTTCCCCCAAGCTCACCCTTTTTAAAAAATTAAAAATTCTCATAAAAAGAGTTGCTCCAGTCATTTTGGTTGCCCTTTTCTGAAGCTTTTCGAGTTCTACACTGTCCTTTTTGAGATGAACTGACTGGAACTGTACTTAGTAGTCCAAGTGTGGCCATACCACAGATTTATAAAACATTATTATATTGGCATCTGATGGAGGCCTTCTGATCTCCCTAATTTGTATTCTATTGCTCCCAGTCTACTACCAATGACAAAGGATAGTTGATTAGTTTACTGTCCAATCATACATCATCATAAGGATAGAGTGTTACCAGCTGTCATACACAAAGGCAAGTAACAGAAACCCCATCCGCATGTAATTGCAGTATCTGTCTATTATTGTTGAGAATTCTTGGAGAACAGGTAAGGTCCCTATAGAATGGAGGTGGGCAAATATTGTGCCCATCTTCAAAAAGGGGGAAAAGAATACCCAGGCAACTACCGACTTGGGGGCTTGACACCGATACCAAGAAATGTCCTAGAGCAGATAATGAAAGGGTCAGTCCTTGAGCACTTAGAAAAAGATGCTGTGATTACTAAGACCCAGCATGGCTTTCTCAAAAACAAGTCATGCCAGTCATTTCTTTTTTTCTTTTTGATAGTTACTATTTTTGTGGATCAGGAGAAAGCAGTGAACATAGTATATCTTGAGTTCAGTAAGACTGTTGACAAAGTTCCCCATGACTGCCTTGCAGAGAAGCTGAAAGGAGATAGGATAGTCATCTTCCAATAGCTAAAGAGCTGTCATATGAAGGATGGAGCAAGCTTGTTTCCTCCTGCTCCACAGGCTAGGATCTTCAAATTACAAGAAAGGAGATTCTGACTAAACATCAGGAAGAACTTTCTGACAGTAAGAACTATTCAGTAATGGAACAGACTTCCACAAGAGGTGGTGAATTCACCTTCCTTGGAGGTTTTTAAGCAAAGCTTGGATGACAATCAGTGTGGTGTAGTGGTAAATCTGGGGAACCGGGTTCGTGTCTCCACTCCTCCACATGCAGCTGCTGGGTGACCTTGGGCCAGTCACACTTCTCTGAAGTCTCTCAGCCCCACTCACCTCACAGAGTGTTTGTTGTGGGGGAGGAAGGGAAAGGAGAATGTTAGCCGCTTTGAGACTCCTTAAAGGGAGTGAAAGGCGGGATATCAAATCCAAACTCTTCTTCTTCATGTATAATCTAGTTGAGATTCCTGCATTGCCAAGAGTTGAACTAGATGACCCTGTGGTATCAACTCTACAAATCTATGATTCTATGATGCTAAGTACAATTTAATAAATAAACACTTTGTACCATTAATGTGCCTACTTGTTGTTTTTGACTTGGTTCTAACAACAAGGTCTGTATTTTGCTAAGCATGCTTAATAAAAAAAGTAAATAATATAGTGATAGAAACTAGGTCAAGTGGGTTCTCTAGAAAGAAATGTGGTGCTGCGGGATACTCAGCCATGAAAACTGCTTTACGGGCTTGAGGGCAGGCAGCTCTGTTGTCAGGGAAGAACTCATAGGACTTTTAAGACCTAAGCATTTTTCCAAACAATGTGGCCAAACTAGAAAGGTGCTGCTACTGTTTTCACATTACAAAAAGAAATGCAAAAACTGAAAGATTAAGGCTGAAATCTTAGGCATACTTGCCAGGAACTCCTCTCTCTTTGGCTACTATAGACTTTCACTGAAGTCTACTATAGACTTTTGGCAACTATAGACTTTCACTTGTTTCTCTCTACAACTACTCTGCAGTTCATGGAATGTTAGTTCATATTCAACTCTTAAAAGTAGAAGTCCTTTCAGACTCTTCTTGATGTGGTAATCTTCTAGGGTACCTCTCCAACCTTTTCCTCATTGCTGGCTGGAGATAATAATAGTTCCCATTTTTGAGAGGAGCTGAAAACTAAAGAAAGCATGCCAATGGTTGCTAGGGATCCCCTAACACTTCCAAATTGTTTCCAGAAACTGAGAGCCCAGGTACATCCCTCTTCTAACAGCAAACTTAAGGGGTGAGTGCCAGAAGGATTGAATCCAAATTAGGGTGTCAAAGAAACAAGAGGGAAATATCAGCAGGTTTCCACCCCAAGGTTTCCAGAACTACAAAAATATTTTAATAAGAAAAAGTTCCAGGAACAAATCCCCTTAAAACTGTGAAATAGGAACTGAACATGTTAAGCAACCATAAAATGTTGAGAAAATCAGGGGGGACCAAGCCAGGAGAGTAAAATGCCCTGCTTGAGCCCTTTGCATTTTAGTAGTCTAAAGCATAGCTGTCAAGTGTCCCTTATTTGAAGGGACAGTCCCTTATTCCAGCGCCATGTCCCACTGCTGTCCCTTATCAATAGATGTCCCTTAAATGTCCCTTAAATGATGTCCCTTAAATTTCAAAGGAAGCAGCTCCTATCCCTCCCTCCCTCCCTGCCGGCCAGGGAGGAGGGAGGCTCCAACTGTGTTGCTTGGCTGTGTTGCTCACCCAATAAGAAGTCTAAGAATGACTGGGGGGGTGGCGCTTGCATGCCTTGTGTGTGGCTAGTTAATGCAAGCTGAGGGGTTTTTTGAATGCTGGACACCATTTTGTTGCACATGCTGCTGCAAACTTTGCAGTGCAAAGCCAGGCCGGGGAGCCATCTTAAGTTGAGGCTGCATAGGCCTTATAGGCCTTGTGGTGAATGCGATTCAGATTCTATTCAGTTGAACCTCTGGTTACAATGTTGGTTGGACAGTGTTCTCGAAGCTACCAGCATGAGTTTGACCAGACTGCAGGAGGACAGGAAGACTGGAGTGCCTGGAACAGGTGAGGTTGCAGGTCCCTTATTTTGGCTGCTGGTCCCTGATTTTCAAATCTGTAAGTTGACAGCTATGGTCTAAAGGTGGGCATAGCTAGCTGGAATCTTGAACAGGAGCATTCAAGTTAGGGAGGTGATGATGTGCTGCAGCCCCCTTATTGATAGATGTCCCATAAATGTCCCTTAAATGATGTGAGCAGTGTGAGACGTAGCCAGGTTCTGATAGCTGAGACTTCTGGTCCAATCTACACTACACATTTAAAGTAGTATCATACCACTTTAAACTGTCATACCTCCCCCCACAAAATCCCAGGAAGTGTAGTTTGTTAAGGATGCTGAGAGTCGTAAGGAGGCCTCTGTTCCCCTACAATTCACAGAGTTCCCTGGGAAGATTTATTGACTGTTAAACCTCTAAGGGAATTGTAGACCTGTGAGGGGAATATGGGTCTCCTGACATTGCTCAGCACAAACAAACCACAGTTCCCAGGATTCCTTGGAGTAAGCTATAACTGCTTAAAGTGGTATGACACTGCTTTAACCGTTTAGTGCAAACGGGTCCTCTGAATGAAATTTACCCTTTGTCACCTTGTTCATCAAATTCCACCTAATATCAAACCATGAAAGTGTAATATGTAGCTAGGCTATGTGTTATGATTACATATTTTGAGACAAAATTTTAAATCTGTACACTGCAATAAACTGCATTCTTCACCTACCCTAGAGCACATTAATTGGCCAATTACACTTCATTACTATGAAGCTTGGAGACCACCGCGCCCACACTAGTGATCATTCTACGACACTGTTGATCTAACTTCCCTCATAACACATTGATATAAACAATGAAGCTACTCCATGGATCAAAGATATCAATATCCGGAGGATATAGTATGGCAGAAGAGTGTGGATGGATTGAAAGAGTATACACAGCACAAGAAGTCCCATACACATTAATATCCTCATGTCCTCCAATGACTCAAAAGTTTTAAGAATGTATATCAATTTTTTTTGGGGGGGGGGTCATGTTTATGGTTTGAGTCTTGCTAAAAGTTATATATGTATATGCACTACAATACTAAATCACTGCTCAACATTATAGCATCACCAGGTTCTGTCTTTTTTAAAAAAAGGAAAATGAAGCCCTGTTCTTAAAGCAAACACAACACAAATCATATAAACCTTGCATTTGGCTGCATACAAATTAGTTTTTAAAAAATATCTACAGGCAATATGCTTCACGTGCAGTCTTTTGTCTAAAGATTCTTTATTTGGAACTAATAAATACAACCGTATAAGGCTTCAGCTGAACAGTAAGCATGGTACATGCATCACTGACAGTAAGCATATTTTTATGTTTGCAAATATATAGTTATTTTGTGCTGTATTGTGGGGATGAAAAATTAGAAGTATCTCGTAACAGTCAGTATAAAATCTAGGTTTATTGTTTCTTGGTTACATAAGGAATAGAGCATTATCCCATAATTAGTATAATACAGTATATCAGTATCATTAAGTCTCATTAAAAATAAAAACCTCGCTCAAACTAATTAAGTTAAGTTGAATCTGCAGAACCTGAAATCATAAGGAGAACTTAATAATTAATATATATACCATAAATTATCTGATGAACACCAATGGTTTCTTTTTTAAAGACAACATGACAATTGTTAACATTTATGTTACACTTAGATTTCTCCTAAGTGTTTGGATATATTTGTTTTGTCCAGTCCTCTTACTTCCTCCTGTTCCAAATGATATACTAAAAGACTCCCCCTCTCCTTGAAAAGCATGGTGTTATCATTATTCAACTAACTGTATTGCCATCCAAGCATTCTTACTTTCAAACACACACCATGGAGCTCCCAGTTTTAATACTTTATAATGTATCTTGAGAAATGATAGTGTTTTACTAAATATTAATCACTTTAATTTAAATTCTATAATTATGCATTCCATAAAACACTGTCATGAACAAATAACAGCAAAATAATAATGTACATATTTGTACAAACTTTACAGATACTCAATAGAATCTATATTATCCAATATATACAATCTATATTACCCAATATATTATATATTATCCAACACAAATATTTCCGTATTATAAACATGACCTTACAGGTTTTGGTAACCAAGTCATTTTCCCAGTTGTGTGACTCCACAGAAAAAAATAGATGCTTAATTAAAATAATATTTTGCTAACGGTGTTCTAGTACTCTAAATATGTCAGATACCACAAGGGTAAAAAATAGTTAATATTTTAAATGAACATACTGTTATCACTCACACATGGCTGTCCAAAAATATATACCTTATTCTTGAGAAAACAACATTTACATTTTCTTTATAAAAAGAAAAACCATTAACTGTAGATTTAAAGCAATTAAAACAACGCTGTATCCATTCTGCAAACCATTTTAGGAACATCAAGGTTGACAAAATAAGTAAATAAACTGAAGATGTTTTGGACAAGTAAACATTATGAAACTATCTCCGTTCTGAATAATAAAAAAAATCTTAAGAAGAAAATCCATTCAGAGTGGTAGAGATTAAGTATTTTCATGCTCATCAAACTTATAATAATAGTTTAGATTGAAAGAAAAGCAAAATCTTATTAGGCATTCACTAAAGCTTTCTTAACAAAAGGGCTTGTGGCCCTTTCACACACAAAAACCCCTTAACCCTTGACCTTTTCTCAGTTAACAGAATAAGAACACTGAAAATATTACATATCATATGAATGTTTGTTTTGTACAAACACTCTTCTCCATCTACTCTTGGGTAAGAAAAAAAGAAGTCCTCTCTTTGAAACAGCACAAGCCTGCTTCTTAAGTCATGTGACTTTTTTTTTTTTTTTTGCTAAGAGCCATGTGCTCGCGTATCATTTTACTCTGAAATATCTATGCGGATTTCAGCTCAACCTGCCTTTGCTTATAATGCATGACATGGGCTGTGAGGGAGCATGAGAACCATCTCTCTTAAAAGCAAGGTTCTCATAGTTGGCCTGTAACCATGGAAGCAGATGCTTCTTCCTTCTTTCTTTTTCTTTCTTTCTTTCTTTCTTTCTTTTTCTTTTTTTTTGCCTTACCCCTCCTTACCTCTTTGCAGCCACGAGCTGCTCCCTATTGTTAAAAGAGGTACGCCTTGATTTTTCTTCGTCGTGACCGAACTTGTCTCTTCTTCAAAGGGCGTGATGCTGCAGGTCATCGGTCTAGACTGTTTGCACGGTCCAGAGAACAGCCTTGATGTAACCCTTGCTCCGTCTGTGCCACACCACCAGCCGTGCAACTGCAGACTGTGGGGGGACATTGGAGATCTGTATTTGAAAAGAAGTCCGTCTGATTTTGCCATTGTGCCTTTTCACTCATCGATCGAATGAATATCGAACCTTCTGTCGTTGCATGTGTGAAACAGATAGCTTAGCAAGCAGTTTTGAGCCCAAACCTGTGCAAAGGGCCAAACTGTTTCCTTTACTCCCAAGTAGTGTTCTTCATTAGATATCTGTTTCTCATTTATTTTATCCAGTTACATATTGATGTTATGCTTCTTCTGTACAACCACAATCGTTATTCTCAGGCTACGTCAACCATCACCTTTCTTCTCCTCAGCTTTTAAAATAATTTTCTTCCACATAGTCATAGTTAAGGTTCACTCCTCAGCACAGTACTTGGATATCGATGATTTAAGGCTGTAAAAACTGAGTGATCGTGAGCAGTCCAAAGTGTGTTAAAATCACACTGTTGGTGCTTTGATTGCTATTACAAGTAATAAAGCTAATTCAATGCAGAAATAAATGAAGCACATCTCATATTCTGAGAGACAAAGTAAGAAAAAGTGTTGCCTTTTTAAAAATGGAAGAAAAAAAATATTTTCAAAAATGTGTAAAAAAAGAGAACTATAGCTTAATCTCTCTCACCATAAAGTCAATGAAACTTTGATCTGAAAATAATGGAAATGTTCCCTCTTCAGTAAAATGGCTACCAAACATATTTTTTATTTGAAAGAATATATTTCATAAGGGGGGGGGGAGAGAGAGAGAGAAACCCTGTGAAAGTTATGTATAAATGTTTCGAAACCAAACCAAGCATTCAAATATATTTAATTTAAAAAGGAAAACAAACCAACAATCTTCAATCCCCAAAGCACATAAAGTGACGTATTCTGAAATCTGTTGATAATCATGTTTTGCTCATCCTCAAATACTGTGACCAAATCTCTATGACACTGGCTGTCAAAAAAAGGACGGGAAAGTTAACCCCCTGACAACTATCAGGATCTGTTCATTGTAAAGTATGCTTGCTTCTACTCCGGTCTAATAAAATTCGGAATCAAAAAGGGCTTATATATTCTTCAGACTGCTGCTTAGCAAGAACTGTCTATATATGACATCAGTATCTGTGTATGTTTTGAGATATCAGTTTCTCTGTACTTGGAAGACATACCTATTTTCTCTAATTGCCAAAGGCAAAGGGGAGGTGCACTAAAGAATAAAGAAGGTTATTGTGACAGATGAAACATAATTCACAATGAATACTCTTTTCATCCAGACTTAAATAGAAGAGGATTACTCCAAGGAGAATTTTAGAAGAGACAGTATACTTTGATTCCAATAATATAAGGACAGGCCACAAACTGGAAAGGCAATGTAAACCTAAATAGGATTTTGTTGAAGATTTTGGATTTCTCCATACTGGAAGAAGTGCTAACTTGAAGAAAGTCTGAAGAGAAACAGTCAATGCAAAGCAATATGAGCTGGGATTTTCTGGAGTGGATAATGATGAATGTTTGTCTTATATTTCTTCTTCATTTGACAGAACCTTAATGAAATGAGATCACGCTATTTCTTCAGTAAATTTGTTCTGTGAAAGTAGGTACCTTATTTTAATACACTTACTAAACTTATGTGGCTTCATAGAACTTCATTTGTTAATCTTCCTGTTATACTTTGCTTTATCAGATGTTGGAGAAGTTAAAATTAGAAAATACTTTCTAGAATAATTGTTTTACCAGATACAGGCAAATGTATTAGAACCAAAACACATTATATACATATAACTACATATTTATTTTACTTGAATTTTTGAAATTTTCAGGGGGAAATGATTTAAACTGTAAATTGTTTAACTAATTCATTTTAATATTCTCTTTTGCTCGTTTCACTTCCCTCTTTTTTAAAGTACATTTTGAGAAAATTAATTACTTATTATGATCATAGTTATTTAACAAGTAAACATAATAAACCATTGCTTTTTCTACATTTTCATTTTCTTTGATGCAAATATGTCTTGATTAACAAATAGCTGCATTTTATATGTTAGTCATTGTTATTTCAAGCTGCAGTTTTGCCACAAAACAATGTAGCAAGATATTATTTAAGCTAAAACAGAATACAGAGAATCTTAAATGGTAATACCCCAAAACAGTTTAGGGCGAAAGTACACATTAGATTCTTGTTATAGGTTTTCTTCATTATTGTATACATTATAAAATACTTCTAAATGACTGTAAGGATGAAAAATGGTTTCTTAATCAAAATAAGAAATGTTTTAAATAATAAATGTTCTGTAGTATAGATCTATCTTTACTTGTTTCATACTTAATGACATGCCACGCAGTTTCAGTTCTGAACAGCATGCTATACATTTTAGCAACTTGTTTGTCCACATATAAGATTATTGAAGATTAAATTAACATTTGAATTAATATTAGTCCAGACATCTGAAGGAAGATGCTGTCCATTGAGTTACAACCCCTAATTTTATTACCAAGAAAAAATGTCATTCTATAATCTGTCACTACAAAAAACTATTCAGAACAATATATACGATAATATTCAAGCACTACTTTCAAATATCTATAATATCAAACTGCCTATATCCCTTTTAATAACAGCCATGGCATAATTCAACATTTCTGCAGCACTTTCTCATAGAATACGCAAAGATGAAAAGAAATAGTGAAATGCAAGCTATTTTATCATGGTGAGTACAGAGCAAGAGGCGTCAACTCAAAAGACAAATAAACTGAAAACAATTGTTTCATACAAAATGTCCATCTGTGTCAATTTCAGAGGTACGTGTTAAAGAAAAAGAACTGAGTACAGCCATTTTTATTTCATTTTGAATTTTAGTCATTATATGCTTCACTGAACCCTTATTAGAATATTTACTTTAAATATTTAGCTGCCATGAAGATTCTAAAATAGAAGGTTCCAATTTAAATCTTAAGATAGTATCTTTTAGAAAACTGTGACTGCACTATTCATTTTTATCGAGTTATGCTTAATGAAACAAAACATTAAAAGCTGCAATCTTAGTAGCAAATCATTGCATCTGAATAAAGTGTTTCACAAAACAGAATGATATACTAACCATACAAATTAATATTACATAGTAAAATGTGATGCCACTATATCTTAGCTAGGTTGCATAACAGTATTGTAGATCAACATCTCATTTTTAAAAAAAAATACTGTAGTCTACAAAACAATATTATTTTAAATACTACATTATTGTATAGTAGCCCTGCATGCTAATAACAATTCAGAAGGCATATTTTCTGCAATTTATTGGCTATGTTAGTAAATATGAAACCAGTGTTTAGTTCCTTGTTTGAAGTGTGAACATTTTTGTTTAAAGACTGTTTCTATTATTTCCCTTGACCTTTTGTTGCTGTATGGTTATTACAAATTCAGCAGAGCAATTTAAACATCTTTAATTAAAACTATTTTGATTAGATGAGGCTAGGAGCCGCACTCTCCATCTTTTTTTAAAGAAGACTTTGATTTTATAAGACAAGCTGGAGAGGAGTCAAATCTGCCACATGCTGTGTGAAAAAATGCCACCCTGGTGTGAACAAAGGGTTTAGAATGGAGTCAAGAAGCGTGCAAGCTCAATGTGTAAGCTTTTCCTGTGAATTGTTCTGCCACAACCTGCAGGATATCAAGTGGGCCGGGAAGAATAGGCAGCTCTTAGAAGCTACAACAGAGAAACACTGGCAATCCAAAGTGTGTGAGAGCCTCTTTTGTTTTGCTTCATTACGGCAAACTGTTTTACCCAAACAGAAACTAAATTCAAGACCAAAAAAAGAAAAGGAAAAAGTCTGAGACTGGCTGAAGAACCAGTGGTATGTGCCTTTTTATCTTCTCACAGTCCGGAACAAGGTGATGGAATTTACAAATCAGATAATTCATGGCATGGGCCTCTCAACTCTCCTTCCAAAATATAAGAATAACTTGTGCTGCCCACCAAAAGAAAGAAAGCTCTGTGACCTCTTCCTAAGCTAACTGCTGTGAGATGGAGAAAAACATTAAACCTTTCTAGCTTTATACATTTCCTTCATGATGGGTGATGTTGAATTGAAAATAAAATTCAGTTTTTTCTTAACTCCAGTGGGTCAATTTATTTTCACTTTTGACTAATATTTGTAACCTTTTTCCTCATTACTTGGCAACAATTAATCTTCATAACATGCTCAAAAAACAATCCTCATAAAGTTTTTGACAATTATATACTGTTTTTTAACAACTGATATTCATAATCACCTTCAGTGATGGCATAAACCTACTCGTCTCTTAGTTCAAAGACACAATTTCATGTAAGCATTAATTTGTGTGGGATACGATTCACTGTAATTTAGAAGGTAATATAAATGTTTTAATCGAAATTACGAATGTTTTAGGAATTCTATATCACAGTCATTATCAATTTCCACGTAAACAACAGAATATATTATCTTTTTATCCTGCATAAAGAATTCTGTAAGAATCACATTGTGAAAGTTTCTCTCTTCCCAACTTACAAATATAGATCAATCTGTTACTTTCATTACCATCACACAGTCCATTCTATTTAAAGTATAATGCAACACAACACCCAAGGGCAATGCATATCTTTAATAATAAAAAACACTTATTTCTACAATGACTTTGTTGTGCATTATAAAATTATTCCTAATTAGTTCACAGCTAGCTTAAAAACTAATATAATTGGATTTTAGCTAATTCTAGCTGAATATCAACAAGAGAAACTATTGAAAAAGGAATTTTAAAGCTAACATTTATAACTCTTTTATACTGTATGTAACAGAGTGAGTCTGTCCAAAGCAAACACTCAGTATATCCCATAATATTTCATAGTTTTCCATTGTTTTAGATGTAGACATGTGTGCGTTCACATGGAAATATGATTTCCACCAAAACTGGGAAGGGGGACTGAATTAGTCTGAAAACAGTCTCAGTAATCTGGCCATTATGTATTGCTAATAAGTGTGGTTGAGCTGGTCAGTGTCTGCACTGCAAAGAAGCACATTTTGTTCATTCTAAAACACCAGGAGGAATGTGGGTTCAGGCACACAGTAACAACATAATACTTTGCATGTCTATTCAGAATAAGCCCCACTAAGATCAACGAACCTTACTCCCAAGTAAGTGTTAATAGGATTGCAGCCCAGGTAGCAGATTTAGCAGAGAGGATTGCAGCCTGGCTTCCTGTAGTAGAGCAAATGACACTGTAATTCTTTACTGGACCTGGCTATTTGGACCTGACCATCATCCGATTTGCAGTTTTGAATTCCAGTGGTCAGTCCTGAGCAGAACACAACTCAAATTGCTCGTGTTACGAACATTTTTATTGAGTATTTTTGCTAGGGTTTTAAACATGATTTTACTTCTTTTTGAACCATTATCCATTAACTCTTGTTGCACCATAACACTGTCTAATGTCCCTGCACATCTGAAACTCACACACTTCACCCCGTCTCCCACACCCTGCTCTCTTTATGCACAGTGGCAGAAGCACTGTTTTTCTGGGGGGATGCCACCACACGTTTGCACTCTCCTTTATCAGTTACCCCCCTTCCCCACCTCAGGTCTCTCTGGACCCCATCTCTGAATCTTGTAGCCCTGCTATTTTTGTCTGAACTACCACAGGCTGCCTGTGCCCTCTGTGTCTCCCTCATGTGTTGCTCCTCTGTTCATCTTTTCTCTTTTCTTTGGCCCTTTGCACCATCACAGTTTTCTCTGTGACTCTTCAATATTAGCTATATTCTCTCCTTCCCCATCATGCACATCTCTTTGTACTTCACCATCTTCCTGTCCCCACTTTTTATTTCTTCAGTCATCATTCCTCTCCTCTTTCACTAGTGTCAGATTACCAAATATGGAGAGTAGGCTATGGGCCCCACACCTTTTAGGTGTCTCATGATAACGGATCAAAATAATATTGATTTAAACTTGAAATAAAATTGTTTATTAAAATTGTTGGTTGGCAAAATCATAAACATATTAGATTATCTGTGAGGTCCCACCACAAGATTTTAACTGCCTAGGGGCCTCCACAGGGTTCAATCCGGCACTGTCCTTCACCCCTTATCTCTCAACTCCTCGCTCACTCTGATAAAAACACACGACTATTTGACTGTCATGTCACACAACTACTTAACACAAACAGGTACAAAAAGGGCGTGGGGGGGGACTGAATGCCGAAAAGAAGAAAAACTGGTGCCAACTGCATCACAAGCCTTTGGATTCTAAACAAGGAGCGGCAATGATCACCTAATGATTGTTGGTATATATTGCCAACCAAGCACCCACTTTTAAGGGCCATGGTGAGAGGAAGGCAATCAGGTCTGGTTTGAGCTGTGTGTGTAGAAAATACTTTGTGTGTCTGTGCCTGATCTGTTGCATACTGACTTCATTAAAATGTTCTAACATTCTAGTATTTCATAAAATATGATTCCCAGTTCAGTTCTGTACATCACTGTAACATCCTCAGTCTTTCTAATATGAATCCTTATACTTTCCCCAACTTCTGTGTGGAAGACATTCCAGACCTGCAGTATAATTGTTGCAAGATTTTGTAGTTGTCTTGTTTCCTTATTAAGGCAGAATGTTGAGAATCATGCAGTTAGTCCGCCTCAAGGTCTGGTTGCAACACTGAGTTACATACTGTAATTATGAAGGTTTTTATGTTATAGTTTAGACAGTTCCTAATAATCGATAGAAATTCTGTTCACATCAATGCATTTAGGAAGCCATCTACACAGTAATGCTAAGATTTCTTTCCTGAGTTGAGGGTACAAAAGCAAGTTGTTACTTCTGCCCTTTTGTCATTACAAGTACTTAATGCATTTATATGGATGCACGATAGAATCAAATATTCAAGAAATAAAAAATATTCAAAAATAAGGAATTTTCAATCCTATAATGAAAAGTCACAATCGGGGCTGAAACACAGGTGAGATCAGCAGTATGTGATTGAATATTATGCCACCTTTAAAACAGGTTGAAAAGTCTCTGCATTTGATTGGAGGCAAAGATCCTGAATCCCTCTGCCCTCAGACTGGGGAGGATATTCATTTTGGGTAATTGTTCCTATTGGGTAATTGTTCCTATTAACTGATACCACATGTTAGTCAAAACACAGCCAATTAGTATTGTCCTGCTGAGTGGCTAGACCAAACACTTGGCTTCCAGCAGTATCACTGGTATACATTTTGTCTACCACTATTTTAGTCTACTTTGTGAATCTAATGCTACCTATGAAAGCTCTCACCACAGTGAATAACTTCACATCTAAGATGCAACAGAGGTATTCTCAATTTTATTAAAGCTGAAACTTGAATTTGGACCTGCGGATGTGGCCGCTAAATAAAATCCATCAGGAAAGAGACACTGTCTTTGAATAGTCAGAAACCTTTATCTGTGGCATGAGTTCATAATTGCCTACAGAATTTCCAAGAGCTAAGCTCTCCTGAGTTTTATTTTTAAATATTTATTTCATTGTCAAATCTTAAACTCATCCGCTCACTACCAATACTGTTTCTTGTTGGGTTCAAATATACAGAATTTCCCCTACAACATCAAAACGAGAGGAAGATAGTAGGTTGTCTTATACTGTGTCAAACCCTTGGTCCATCTAGCTCCTTACAATCTGTCCTGACTGGCACCAGGTATCTTGGATACCAGAAAGGAATCCTTCGTATCTTTACCTGCAGATGCTACACTGAAATTGTGACCTTCTGCATGCAAAACATTTGCTATGCCACTGAGCTCCAGCCCTCAAAATGATTCATCATATGGTCTATTCCAGTTCCTTGTACAGTATCATATCCCTTCACTTTCACAGAATACTAAGTAGAGGTTTAATATTGTGTTTTATGAGGAAAACATTTCAGCAAGCAAGGAGGGAAAATTGCACAAGAAATGTTATAAATGCTTCTCCCACTTGAGTAGCCTACTACAAAATAGTAAACTGGATCCTATATATTTCAGGTTGTGGGGGGAAATAATTACATATTCTTACAGTGTATGGCTAGAGTTATGTTCTAAACTGTGAACTGAAGGAGGATAGTAGCAGCAGCAGCAATTTTATTCATTTAATTATGAGCCATAACAAAGATAAAAGGCATTTAGCTCTTAATTTCCTAGCAGCCAATGTAAATAGAGGGACGCAAAATAACATAATTTCCCTTGTCTAACAGCAAAAAGCTCACAAATTCCCATGGTGTAACAATTTAAAGGAGGGTAAAAATATTCATAAAAGGTGAAAATGGTTAGAGCAGGAAGATAAGAGTTTGCTCAAAAACTTTGACACACATTCTCTTCAGACATTTAGCTGAATGTAATGTAAGAACCTTAAAGGTTTGGAGAGATCTTTCCTTAATTCATAAATCCCTTTTATGAGGTTTACTATTGTTGTCTTGACCTTCTTTGAATAGAGATTATGAAAGTTTAATTTCAGGGGTTATTAGAGAATGGTAAAGGAAAACAAATCTCTTAACACTTTTGATATATATAAATAGCTAGAATAGCTTGCCATGCCTTCCAGTAATGCAGGATTTTTAAGTACATTCCATTGATGGGATGATAGGTTGTTACAGAAAGTCCAGACTTCTTATAACATCTTTTAAAGGTTATGGTTTCTTAATATGCATTCACAAGCAGTCACAGTTTAGTTGCATTTAATTAATTTATTTCAATATGCATAGTATGACATGGGGGATAGGCACCTCTGACTCTACTGAAAGAGCTTAGGGACTTTTTCTCACAAACATTTTTGCATAATATACACACATTTCTTCCCTATTATCAAAAACATCCCATATGAGGTGCTTTCATTACAGAGTTGTGATACTTTCCAAGCACTCCAAAAAGCAAAATTGTGTACCTAAAGAAGTGTGCCCTGATCATCCTAATCAAAAACTAAATAATGTTGTCTTCTCCTGTCTTCTGCTGTTTCACCTT